CAGCGTGGCTGGAGGCGTGTGTAGGGTGGGGGATGGAGGGGGGCTAGAAGGCTGTGCTAGGGCTACCCACAGAGACTCAGAGACCTTGTTAGGGCTTTAGCTTTTACTCCGGGGGAGTTGGTGTTAAGCCAGCAAGAGCTTGTGTTCCAAGGGTCACTCTGGGTGCTGGCTGGAAAGGTCTGTTGGGAGTTAAGATTAGAAGATGGTATGGCCTGGCAGGTGGTGTGGTAGTTAAGGGCGCTGAACTCCCACATGGTCAACCACAGTTTGAGTCCCAGACCTGGCAGCTTGCTTTCTCCCTTCCCCCACCCCTCTCTCTCACTTACTCACTCTGTCCCTCTTTGATCAAATTAATAAGTAAATAAATAAATAAAGTTAAATACGATAATTAAAAAAAAGATTAGAAGATGGTAAGGGTCAGGAGGGCGTGGTGGTTTAGGGCGTTGGACTCCCTCATGGCCGACCATGATTCGAGTCCTGGACCTGGTGGCTTGCTTTTTCCCTTGCCCTGCCCCCGTCCCTTTCTGGTCAACTTGAAGGGAAGGAAGAAAAAGGAAAGGAAAGAGAGAGGGAGGGAGGGAGGGAAGAAAGTTAAATAAAATAATTCTTTAAAAAAACAAAAGGAGATGGCAGACCAGTTGGCACCCCTGAAGGGCCTGCAGGATGAGAGACAGCCACGGCTGTACCAGGTGTTGGCATTGAAGGAGCTGAGACGTGGTCAGATTCTAAACGTATGCCAAGGTGCACTTGGCAGGGCCTGCTGAGGGACTGGCCATGCAATGAGGGGCAGGCGAGTGGCAAGCCTGGTCCCCTCACATGAGCAAGGCAGCAAATGTGGGGCCGGTTCCTGGGAAGGGGAAGCTGGACACAGAGTTGGGTGGAGATGTGGGGAGGCATTAAGCGTTCTCTTCTAGACGGGTTCACTCTGAGATCTCTAGTAGGCGCATGAGAAGACGGGCCAATGAGGCAGGTGCACACATGAGTCCAAGTCTTGGTGGAAAGGTCAGAATGGGAATATATATTTGCATGCGGTCAGCCCATAGTTGCTTTTAAAAACATGGGCTGAGGGACAGCGGATGGCCTAACAGTTACATCGGTGGACTCCCACGAAGTTAAATGTGCTTCTAGTCCCAGACTTGGTGGCTTCAAATCCACACCGTGAGCATGTGCGTGCGTGCCCAGGATCCTGAGAGGAGAATGGACGGGAAGGGACTGCAGCATGGCCATCCCCCCTGGGGGTGATTTCCCACTTTTTGTCTCTCTGTCTCTCTGACTAGCACATGCACCCTATAGTAAAAACCTCCCTCAAAAAACTAAAAAATAAAAAAATATAAAAACAATTAAAAAAAACAACAAACAAAACATGGGGCTGGATGTGACCACCAGGAAGGGTGGGTAGAGAAGTCTTGGGGGCCGTGAGCTTTTTGTGATCCCACAGCTGGAAAGGCTCTGCCCTCTCTAAACTCCACTTTGCTTTATCCACGCCTCCCTCCTGGCCCCTCTCGCACTCTGCTCCGGTACAGACACTAGTTCACTCTTTGCCAGGCCTGTCCCCTCACACACTCTGGAGCTGCCTTGAGAACAGGGTGGGTTGACTGTCCCGAGTCCCAGCTGTGCAGACTTAGCCCCAGCTACTTGGCCGGCCCCCTGTAGGCACTGCGCCTCGGGCGGGCTTTGAGCTGGGGTGGGGCAGCCTAGGCAGCCAGCACCAGGTGCAGCAGGAACCTGTCTGGGGCCAAGGGCTCCGCCAGAATGCCCAAGAGCCATTAGATGGGGCTGGTCCGCTGCCGAACCTCTGGACCCCATGCGCCCCGCACACCTAGTCAAACAGAGGCCTATAATCTTTCTTCATTCGACCGTTGGTAAATCTTCCTGTTTCTGCAGGTATAGGTCATCAGAACATGGAACTGAAGGGCCCCCAAAACAAAGAGTCTCCTCACATGGAAATCCCATTCTACTTCGGACTCCAGCAATTACGTGCGTAATACACTCGTTGGTGTCAGGGGCCGACGGTGAAATAATCCACTGGTTTTCTCACTCTTCTCAGGGCCCCCTCACTGTGCCTTAGCTAACAACGGCAACTTCAACACACCGAGGGACAGACACCGTAGTTAGAGCGTCTGCCTGCTCCTCTGCCAATCTGTCCAAAGTAGAAAGAACTTCCTACAAAGACAAGTTATGTGTCCCTCAGACCACAGGAATACAAAAATATGCAGTTCTTACCTGGGAGGGTTGTGGCATTCACATAATCTCTGGGGAAAACGTTATCGTGGTCATCAGTGGCAGGTCCCTACAAGAGACAGCACCGCCGTGAGCCCAGTTCTGTGGAGTCCACCATCACTCATGCCCAGTTCTGGCGCCACCTCCTTCTCAGAGCCCTGCCCCTGATCCACCCAAGGCATGCCTTTCTCAGCTCAGGAGCCTCTTGGTAACTGACTTTGTCACCCTCCAACATTTTCACTATTGTTTATTTGAGAGGAGGTCTCCAAAAAGTTCATGGAAAATGCACATTATGAAAAATCTATGCATAGATTTCGAAACATTTACACCAGGATAAGCTTGTATTTTAATTCCACTTTTCTGTGAGCCTTTGCAGCTGCCTCATAAGGCATGCATCCACCCCTTGCCTGTTCAAGGTGGGGATTTCTTCCCATCTGCCTCTCCACCAAAAGTTGAAGGGCACAACCCATGCTCAGAGGAGAAAGCTCCGTGGACACAGAAGCAGCCGTTGTCACTAGGGGTCCAGGGCCAGGTCCCAGGCACCAGCACTTACTGGGAAAAGGATAGGCTGGAATCCTGGCTCCTCTCCTCCTGGCTATATGACCGTGGGCAAATTCCTTAGCCCATGTGAGCTTCCATCTGCTCCCTTGAAGGGTTACCATGAAAATCAAATGAAATAGCAGATGCAAGGCTCAGAGTTCAGTGGGGTGCAGCCCATCCCCGGCCAGTGCAGTTTCCCTAGAATAGCTGTGTTGGGAGCTCCTTGGCCCCGTGGCAAAGGCTTCACCTGCAGCTATTCCTCAGTGCCACACAGTCCTGCTGGAACACAGGTAAGCTTCAGGAGCCCAGGCCCCCTCCCTGGGCTGCCCATTCCAGGAGGGGCTGAGCCTCTAGCTTAGCATTCAAGGAATTAAGGACCACGGGAGAAGATGGAGTTGGATGGAAAATTGGATTACTCGGGAATTTGTTAAGCAGCTTGAGAGGTAATCCTCTTTGCAGCAAATTATGACACCAGAAGGCCACAAGGGAGGGACTCAGATGAACTGAATCCCCCTCTCGAGCTAAGCCATTGTAGCTCAGAGATGATAGGGCAGCCACTAGACAGGACAGCGCTGCATGCCAGGCCAGCACCACTCCACACGATAGAGCCCCGGGACCAGAGCTCAGCCATGACCCCCCTCAGAGGCCTGAACAGGGCAGCGAACTCTCCAGAGTTCAGATTTCCTGCCAGCCTATGCTCTTAACCACTAGAGCTGTGGTCTCACCCTTTTTATCAGAACTCGAGCTCACCTCTGTGAATAGGGACCACTCAGCCTCAGCTTGAACACTCCCGGATTCTGCGGATAGAAGGAAGGATCATTACTAGGTGTATGGACTCTCATAACGATCCAGATGACGGGCTCCAGAAACAGAATAAAGTTCATATAGTGTTGTTTATTTATTTATTTAAGAGAGATTTTTTTGCTATAGGGCACATACACTCAATGGAGAGACTGAGAGATAGAAAACAAAAAAATCCCCCCCCCCCCAAGTATTTAAACAACAAACAAAACATGGGGCTGGATGTGACCACCAGGAAGGGTGGGTAGAGAAGTCTTGGGGGCCGTGAGCTTTTTGTGATCCCACAGCTGGAAAGGCTCTGCCCTCTCTAAACTCCACTTTGCTTTATCCACGCCTCCCTCCTGGCCCCTCTCGCACTCTGCTCCGGTACAGACACTAGTTCACTCTTTGCCAGGCCTGTCCCCTCACACACTCTGGAGCTGCCTTGAGAACAGGGTGGGTTGACTGTCCCGAGTCCCAGCTGTGCAGACTTAGCCCCAGCTACTTGGCCGGCCCCCTGTAGGCACTGTGCCTCGGGCGGGCTTTGAGCTGGGGTGGGGCAGCCTAGGCAGCCAGCACCAGGTGCAGCAGGAACCTGTCTGGGGCCAAGGGCTCCGCCAGAATGCCCAAGAGCCATTAGATGGGGCTGGTCCGCTGCCGAACCTCTGGACCCCATGCGCCCCGCACACCTAGTCAAACAGAGGCCTATAATCTTTCTTCATTCGACCGTTGGTAAATCTTCCTGTTTCTGCAGGTATAGGTCATCAGAACATGGAACTGAAGGGCCCCCAAAACAAAGAGTCTCCTCACATGGAAATCCCATTCTACTTCGGACTCCAGCAATTACGTGCGTAATACACTCGTTGGTGTCAGGGGCCGACGGTGAAATAATCCACTGGTTTTCTCACTCTTCTCAGGGCCCCCTCACTGTGCCTTAGCTAACAACGGCAACTTCAACACACCGAGGGACAGACACCGTAGTTAGAGCGTCTGCCTGCTCCTCTGCCAATCTGTCCAAAGTAGAAAGAACTTCCTACAAAGACAAGTTATGTGTCCCTCAGACCACAGGAATACAAAAATATGCAGTTCTTACCTGGGAGGGTTGTGGCATTCACATAATCTCTGGGGAAAACGTTATCGTGGTCATCAGTGGCAGGTCCCTACAAGAGACAGCACCGCCGTGAGCCCGGTTCTGTGGAGTCCACCATCACTCATGCCCAGTTCTGGCGCCACCTCCTTCTCAGAGCCCTGCCCCTGATCCACCCAAGGCATGCCTTTCTCAGCTCAGGAGCCTCTTGGTAACTGACTTTGTCACCCTCCAACATTTTCACTATTGTTTATTTGAGAGGAGGTCTCCAAAAAGTTCATGGAAAATGCACATTATGAAAAATCTATGCATAGATTTCGAAACATTTACACCAGGATAAGCTTGTATTTTAATTCCACTTTTCTGTGAGCCTTTGCAGCTGCCTCATAAGGCATGCATCCACCCCTTGCCTGTTCAAGGTGGGGATTTCTTCCCATCTGCCTCTCCACCAAAAGTTGAAGGGCACAACCCATGCTCAGAGGAGAAAGCTCCGTGGACACAGAAGCAGCCGTTGTCACTAGGGGTCCAGGGCCAGGTCCCAGGCACCAGCACTTACTGGGAAAAGGATAGGCTGGAATCCTGGCTCCTCTCCTCCTGGCTATATGACCGTGGGCAAATTCCTTAGCCCATGTGAGCTTCCATCTGCTCCCTTGAAGGGTTACCATGAAAATCAAATGAAATAGCAGATGCAAGGCTCAGAGTTCAGTGGGGTGCAGCCCATCCCCGGCCAGTGCAGTTTCCCTAGAATAGCTGTGTTGGGAGCTCCTTGGCCCCGTGGCAAAGGCTTCACCTGCAGCTATTCCTCAGTGCCACACAGTCCTGCTGGAACACAGGTAAGCTTCAGGAGCCCAGGCCCCCTCCCTGGGCTGCCCATTCCAGGAGGGGCTGAGCCTCTAGCTTAGCATTCAAGGAATTAAGGACCACGGGAGAAGATGGAGTTGGATGGAAAATTGGATTACTCGGGAATTTGTTAAGCAGCTTGAGAGGTAATCCTCTTTGCAGCAAATTATGACACCAGAAGGCCACAAGGGAGGGACTCAGATGAACTGAATCCCCCTCTCGAGCTAAGCCATTGTAGCTCAGAGATGATAGGGCAGCCACTAGACAGGACAGCGCTGCATGCCAGGCCAGCACCACTCCACACGATAGAGCCCCGGGACCAGAGCTCAGCCATGACCCCCCTCAGAGGCCTGAACAGGGCAGCGAACTCTCCAGAGTTCAGATTTCCTGCCAGCCTATGCTCTTAACCACTAGAGCTGTGGTCTCACCCTTTTTATCAGAACTCGAGCTCACCTCTGTGAATAGGGACCACTCAGCCTCAGCTTGAACACTCCCGGATTCTGCGGATAGAAGGAAGGATCATTATTAGGTGTATGGACCCTCATAACGATCCAGATGGTGGGCTCCAGAAACAGAACTGAGAGATAGAAAACAAAAAAATCACCCCCCCCCCAAGTATTTGGCCACACCACAATCCCTTCTCCTCTCAGGATTTTGGGCACTCATGCACATATGCCTGGCATGAATTTGAAGCCACCAGGTCTGGGACTCAAACTGTGGTTGACCATGTGGAGTCCAGTGATGTAACCATTATGCCATCTGCTGGTCACCATATAGTGTTATTTAAATGAGCATGATGCTGGAAATAAACAACTGTCTAACCCTAAAGGACCAGCTAGATCAATTACGACATGGCCATATAATTTGAGAGCCTTTCAAGGCCTTTCAAAATAGCCTAGAAAAATGTTGAAGACATGATATGTTATATGATAATGCAACCACAAGGAAAAAAATCCAGATAGTTTGATCCAAAATTTCTAAAGAAACATATTTCTATCAGGACCCACAGGTGGCATGGTGGTTAAGGCACTAGACTCCCGCATGGCTGACCACAGTTTGAGTACCGGCCCTGACGGCTTGAAAATCACACCAGATGCATGTGCATGCATACCTCAAATCTCAGGAGCAGAATCAAAGACAAGGGATTACAGGGATTATGGCATGGCCATCCCCCTGTATGGTTTCTCACTTTTCCTCTCATTGTCTCCCAGGGCATGGTTTCTCACTTTTCCTCTCATTGTCTCCCTCTGGTGAGCACACATGCCCTATGACAAAAACCTTAAAAAAAAAAAAAAAAGAAAGAAAGAAAGAAAGAAAGAGAGAGAGAAAGAAAAAAAGAAAGAAAAAGAAAAAAAGATTCATTTATGTCATTATTTATTTTATATTATATTCTATTGTATAGTAGATGCACACACAAGAAGAAATGTTAGAATTCACACCACCAGATCTAAGCACTCTTAACATTTTAATTTCCTTCTTTGTACCTCTTTGCAATAAAAAAAAATTAATATAAACAGCAAAGGTTGGAGCCAACCTCATAGCCTAGTGACTCTAAGAGAGTGGTTAACCCATGGATCACAGTTCTACGAATCACGGTTCTAACGCCGGCTCCAGCAGCTTGCAGAACACTCTGGGCATGTGTGCATGCATTCCCAGAATCCTGACAGGATGGAGAAATGGCGCTACAAATGAAGTGATTGTGGCATGGCTCATTTGGGGTGATTTCTTCCTCTTGCTCTGTCACTGTTTGGCAAGGGCACATGTACTCTGGCAATAAACAAGGAAAAAGGAAAGAAAAACATTTTCATCTGCCTGGGTGAGTTTAGTAGAGTTTGCAAAAGAGGGTTATAGACCTTGCATCCTATTGAGGCTCCTCCCCCTCCATGGGAACAGTGAAGAAACAGCCAAGGCAAGAGGAGGCCAAGGATCAAAGGGAGAGCCCTGACTCCAGGCTAGCTTCAGCGGCAAATGTGAGCCCAAGGGACCAGAGGCTGAACCATGACAAGCAATGGGGAATGCTCTGGACTTTAAAATATTTTGTCGTCTCATGATTTTTTCATCAAGAAGTTAAAAATACACCAGAGGCCCAGTGCAGTGGTGCAGGCGGTAGGGTGCTGCTATGTGATTCTAGAGTCACGAGGCGGCCTGGGTTCAGATCCCAGGTGGACCTGAGCACTTTGGGTGGGTGCAGGAAGCTGTAGGGAGATCGCAATGTGGGAAAACAGTTAGGGGGCTCTCTTTTGCATGTGAAGTAAATACACACATACTTTGTTTTAAAATTAAGATTAAAAAAAACTACCAGGAACACTGGCAGTTGGCATAAAGGCTATGTTGCTGGACTCCCATGTAGTCAACTGTGGTTTGAGGCCTGGACCCGGGGGCTTAAACTCACACTGGGCGCGTGTGTGTGCGTGCCCAAGATCCGGAGAGGAGGAGAATGGAGAAGGGATTGCGGCGTGGCCATCCCCCTGGGGGATGATTTCTCACTTTCTGTCTCTCTGTCTCTGTCTTTCTGGTGAGCACATGTGCTCTATAGCAAAAACCTCTTAAAAAAGAAAAACTACTAGGAACATTAATAGCAGTTGCTACTATATGTTTTCCCTATATTAATATTTCTAAGTTTTATACAAATTATAAATATATATATATATATATATACACACATACTTTTTTTTTAATTGTTAGAGGGTGAATGTACTAATGAAAGAGAGACAGAGAAATAGAGAGAGGGAGAAAGCACCCCCTCAATGAGGCATGGTCACTGCACAACCCTTTCTCCTCCGTTTCTCTGTCTATCAGGATTTGGGGCATGCACACGTGCCTAGTGTGTTTTTCAAACCATCAGGGCCAGGAAAAGAAAGAAATTAAAAAAAAAAAAAGCACCCCCCAACAGCACATGGTCACACCACAATCCCTCCTCCATTTCTCCATTCTTCTTTTTTTTTTGGAGAGTTTTTTGCTATAGGGCGTGTGGGCTTGCCAGAAAGACAGAAAGCGAGAACCCCCCCCCTGCCCAGGGGTGATGGCCACACCACAATCCCTTCTCCTCCTTTCTCCTCTCCGGGATCTTGGGCACGCACACACGCACACGCGCCCAGCGTGAGTTTAAGCCAGTGGGTCCGGGACTTGAACTGTGGTCGACTACATGGGAGTGCAGCAACATAGTCATTACACTAACTGCTGGTCCCTCCATTTCCCCATTGGACTTGAGGCATGCACATGCATCTGGCGCATTTCTCAAGTTGTTGGCCTCGAACTATAGTCCACTATATGGGATCTAATTTTTTTTCCTTGCCAGAGAGAGAGAAAAAAGAGAGACGAGGGAGAGAGAGAAAAGGGAGAAAGAGAGAGAAAGAGAGGGAAAGTGAGAAATCACTCCCCAGAGGAAAAACAGTGACGCTGGCATTTATTCCCTGCTCACCACGTCCCCTTTCTCCATTCTCCTCTTGGGACTTTGGGCACACACACACGCATGTGCTCAATGTGTTTCTTCAAGCCCCCGAGTCTGGGACTTGAAGTGTCCTGCATCCTGAGGTTGTGCCTGTCCTCATTCTGAGGGTTAAAGCATCCTTTCTTTTATGATATAGCGGGGATGGTAAGTGGCTGTAATTTTTTTAAACTTGTTTAATGTTATGTCATTGTTTAGCAAAATTTAAAGTTGGCAACCTTATTTGGTCCCTAGCATTCTTTCTGAAATTTAACAAACCCACAAAATTCCCAAGTCTAGGATCCTCTGAGCTATGCACAGAGGTCGGGTGGGATAGTCAAGAGGATGTGGGGGGAGAGATCCCAAGGGGAGCAGCGAAGAGAGAGCAGCGTGCACCTTGCAAAGACAAGGCCCAAGGCGAGGGACACATGCACGAAGGTGCCCAGCCACGTGCAGCGGAGGCCAAGAGGCACTTGAGGGTGGGCCAGGTCTGAGGGAGAGGTCTATGGGGCAGCCTGAGAAGGCCCTCACACCAAGCTCAGGAACCTGAACTTCATCCAGGAACAGGAGGAGGCGGGCTTGTGACTTAGGGGGCTGCCTGGAGCCAGGGTGCGGGGAGCCCAGGTGCCAAAGGCAGGAGACTAGCTGGGAGGCTGACTGTAAGATCCTGTCAAGATGGGGCGGGAGCAGGTGATGTCCAGTTGGGTATCTTGGTTCCGGGCGCAGTAGCTGGGGGGTGTCGACGGAGTCCTTCGCTGAACGGGGAGGCATGGAGGGATGGTGACGTGCTGGGTTTGGGTCATGCTGTGTTGTGCAAGGAGGAGGACCCCGCAGAGGTCTGAGTGGTGGAGACATTATGCCAAGGAGACACAGGACAAATATTAGGTCGTCAGGAAAGCCATGACTTGTTTGTTCTTTTTTTAAGCGGTGATTTTTTTTTTAGAATTATTTTGATTTATTACTATTGGAACTTGATTAGAGAGAGAGAGAGAAAGTGAGAAAGCAAGCTGCCAGGTCCAGGGCTCGAACCGCAGTCAGCCATGTGGGAGCCCAATGCCTCAACCACCACACCACAGGCTGGTCCCCATGATGTATTTTTTTTTTTTCTATGCAAAAAATGAGTCATGACTTTCCCGACCACCCAATAGTGACCCACAGGGAAAGGTTCCTGACTCCTGTCAAGAGTCCCTGAGTATCCTGGGCTTCTGTGTGCCCCTGGTCAGGGCCACACTGGGGGTGCATCTCTCTTTCACCATCTCCGTCTCACTCAGCCATGGAAGAAAGAGATAAACTTAAACAAACAGGAAGAGTACTGCTGGCATTTATTCCCCGCTCACCACGTGCCAGGCTCTGGGCTAACCACGTTTCGCCTTGCAGCCTGTGAGGCAGGTGTTCTGGTTTTGGGGTTTTTCAAGGCAGGTATTATCATCCCCGCTACACAAATAAGCAAACTAAGGCTCGGTTAGGTACTTCCCCAAGGTCACACTAGGGAGGGGCAGGGCCCACAAGGAGACCAGTCTGCCCAAAGCCAAGGCCAGGGCTCTGCACCAAGTAGCAGGTGACAGTGACAGCGGAAGCAGCTGAGGCACCCGCTGCAATGGGGTGTGAAGAGCTGCAGAGAACCGCACCAGGGGAAATGCAGGAGCAAACGGGGTCTCCAGAACTGGGGACCCAGGTGCTCCTGAACCTGCAGAACGCCCCACACAAATGAACTCCCCCAGAGCGGGATGGCCAAAGGGTTTGAGAAGACAATGTGTATTTGTAGGAATCTAAGCTGGGGGACCCAGCCTGCCTGGAGGATCCCCAGCCCTGGGCTCAAGACACCCCCTATTGTGCAAAAGCCCCTCCACCAGCAGGTATGAATCCTACTCGTGGGGAATGTGAGGGGGTTCAAGGTATTTGTGAAAACATTGCCCTATTATGTCTAGGGGGCTTTTCCAGGCATGTTGTCCCCAGCTCGCTTTGAAAAGGGGCTCGTGGGACGCTCAGACTCCACGTTGGTGTAATCTGGGAGAACTGCTCGGCACAGCTGTGGACCAGCTGCTCGGTCCGCGGTCGCCACTGCTCCCTGAG